AGCAAAAGAAACAAACCTGGAGCGCTAGATTCGGATTTCGGAATAGAAAGTTGTTATGTTTCTTCAGGAACATAATTTACCTTTCAATATAATGGAACATGTGCCACAATTTTTGCAGTCTATAGCTCCCGACTCGCAAATTAAAAAGAAATTAAATGTTCTCGCACAAAAGCCACGCAAATGACAAAGGCRATAGCGGAAGAATCAATTGATAATTTAAAACATAAACTCAACAATAATAAATTGTATTCCCTTATAATAGACGAGACAACCGACATTTCAACGAAGAAATCGCTAGTGGTTTTGCATCAATATTGCGACAATACCGTTAATGAAGTTAAGGATAGTTTTTTTGGTCTAATACATTTGCATAGCTGCGACGCAAGCAGCATCTATGATAGCGTTAAAAATCTTTAACAAACGCGGAATATACCAATTGAAAATATGATCGAATTCGGGGTAGACAATGCAGCGGTGATGATGGCAAACAAGGCTGCTGTAAAGGCAAAGTTGATGGAAGTCAACCCATCAATTTTTGTAATGGGATGTACATGCCATTCCCTACATTTATGTGCCACAGCAGAAAGCTTCCCAAAAGCGTGGAAGAGTTTTGCAGAAATGTCTTTAATCAAGGAAGCCTTAACGGAGTTTCAACAATTTGTAAACATCAAACCATCAGTCATGTTACATCCGTCTCAAACACGATGGTTATCGCTTCAAGTATGTTGCTAGTGCTTTTGCAGTTTTGATGTCTATTTTCTACTTTTTTAAGCCGTCACAAATAGGATTTTGGACTCATGGGATGCGTTGAAGCTTGACTTCACCAACTATCAGTTGGAAGACAAATTGCGAAGCGCACAAAATATTTTGGATGCACTTAACACCCCAGTGTTCCAAGTGTATCTATTATTTTTCAGCTACATTTTAGATATAATCAATAAAATTAATTTGGAATTTCAAAGTGAGGAGCCCAAAATTCACAAACTTTTACCAAATGTAAAAATGTTTTATAGAACAATTCTAAGAAATTTTTTATCATGCAAAAATTAAATGCTGTTGATATTTCTCAAATTTTACCAACAAATCCAGCAAATTTTTTGCCAGAGAAGGAACTGTATTTGGGTGCCAAGGCTGAAAAAATGCTTAGTGAAATTGATGAAAGTCCAGAAGAACTAAAAAAGCTTAAGACGAACGTTCTGGCTTTTTATGTTGAATTGGCAAGCCAAATTAGACAGAGATTTGATTTTGCAAACCCACTGCTATACTTTTTGTCTAATTTTGATGCCGAAACTGCGACCAGTGGAAAAGTTAGATCCATCATTTAAATTTTAAACTGTATTCCTCAAATTAAAGTCGCCGATTTGGAAACTATTAACATGGAATGGAGGTTATTACCTAATGTAGTGGATATTGTGCAAAAAGCTAAAAACTTTAGTTTGGTGCAGTTTCGGTCTTTCATTTTTGACATGAAAAATTAATTAAACGAATTTATGTATTCCAATTTGACAAATGTTGTTCAAACTGTAATGAGTTTGCCTCATTCTTCAGCATGCGCTGAACGATTTTTTTTCCAATTAACGCTATTGAAAAGGAAAAAGCGTAATAGGCTTTTACCCAGATAGCATTTGATATTCTATGAATATCCCAGAATGTTCAAAAAATATACAGAACATTGCGGGAATATCCTGGGAATATACATGGTTGAACATTCCTAACATGAATGTTCGTGGAATATACATGCATGTATATTCATCAAAGTTCATAAAAAGTATATCCGAGGTATGTACATATATGTACATATTGGGTATTTGTGCAGATGAACATGCCCGGTATGTACATATTGTGTATATGTGCAGGTGAATATACCTAGTATGTTCAAAACAAATATTCCGGTAATATACATGAATGTATATCTACGGTATATTCCAAATTCGTTGAATATAAATTTTGCGCACCCGCAGCAGAAAAGTAAGGGCATGTAAAAGTAAATCTTACTACTGAAACCTGAGACCATTATGAAATAATGAAAATATAGGGTTTTGATTAACAAATTAACAAAATTTGTCGAAAATAAATTTTGCGGGCTGATTTTTTACTTCTAAGTTGAGTCAGTCACCGTTATTTAATTATTTTCCTTATTGAGAAAGAAATAAATTAGTATATTACAGCTTACTTCTTGCCTTAGATAAATAAAATACTTAAATTCAAAAATAGTACGTGCTCTCAAAGTATTTGCATTGTTTCTTCTTATCCTAGTTATTTATTTGGAAAAAAATTATGGTTCTGAAAAAACCCGATTTGTGTTTGATTAAGTATGTTCCTACTTAATACTGTTTTGAGTTTAGGTGCTTTTGGTTTTTCTCGTTGAGCCTAGTATATTTGATTTGTTGCGATGTTCTGTGATTACAACCATCGACAAGAGACCATTTTGTCTGCTGTTTTAGATTTTTCCACTCGATTGATTTTTTTTTGAAAGACCGTGCTTGTGCCTCATTGTTATGATGTGCCTTCAAGACGGTAATTACGATATAATTATAGCTTAAAACCCCGCAAACATGTAAATGTATGTTGGTGTTTAAATTAAATACATTTGATTATTTTATTATTTCTTGTTCTAAACATACAGGTGATACCGCTGTTCTAGACTTGAAGCATTGAAGACGCTAGAGATCACGTGAGAAAACCACACACGAAAAATGTTCGCATAAGAATCAAGTAAGGTTGTCTGAACCTAATTATTCTTCTATTAATTTAAAACTATTATCTGTATTTTTTTATTTTTACCAGTTTGATTTTGGTTGATTTCTATTTTTCGATAAGCATGTTTTCTTGGATCGAAGGAAAGCAACAAAAGTAAAATGAAAGTAATGTATCAATACAAATTGCTATACCTAACTGTATTTTTACACAATAGAATAATCTGTGGATGAACGAAAATACTCTTCTATTAAATTTTTCTATCTTCTTTATTCTTCTTTAAAATCTTCTATTAAATTATTAAAATACAGTAAAACTATTAACTGTATTTTGTTATTGTGACCAATATTAAAATTTGTAATTGCCTATAAAATTTTTGTATGAGCATATTGCGAAACACTTTAATTGATCGAGAAGAAAATGAAAGGGCAAAAGCCATAGAGCGGGAACATGTAAGGAATATAAAATAATAAGTGCAGTTTTTTAGATAAAGGTTTGTGTTTTATCTCACAGTCACACATCATTGCGACAACGGCAAAAATGCTGAAAATGTTAATTTAGATTTTTAGTCCGTAGTTATAAGTTATATTTTAATTTATTTATTATCCATTTAATTAGTTTTAGATTAGTTGTAACTAACTCTTGCTGTTGAAAAATTACATCAGTAAATACTTAAATATGTGAATAAACTAATAAGATGAAATAAAGGATCGTTTTTCTTTCGTTACATATATGTATGTATATTCCTTGAACATACCATGTACATTTCCAGAAAATACACATGTATATTCCCTGAACATACTATATACATTCACTGAACATAACCATGTACACTCACTGAACATACCATGGACATTTCCAGAAAATACACATGTGTATTCACTGAACATACCAGGTACATTCCCAGAACAAACACATGTACATTCACTGAACATACCATGTACATTCCCAGAACATACCGTGAACATTCAGTGTATTAACTCTGACAGATTCCTGTGACATACATGGAATGTTCATAATGGAGCTCATGTATGTCCAAGGAATATGCATGTACATCACATGAATGTTCCAGGTATATTCTGGGAATATAATTTTGCTATGCGGGTAGTCAGTACATGCGATAATATTTTGCATACTAAAGAAAAAATTTTGAGGCCAAATTCTTGTTACAATTGGGAGCCAACTTCGTCTTTGTTATCCCGACACGTCGAATTCTCCTCTTTAGAAAAAAATAGGTCACTTTCTGGTATACTTATAATTATATTTTATGTACTTTTCATTTTTTATTTACCCAGAAGTTGGTTTTAATTTGTTTTTCCTTTATACTTACCTAATTTTATTTTAATTTGTCATCGTACGCCTGCAGTGTTTCCACTGTACGCGTGAGTTATTGTTTTGTTTGACATAATCTAAATTTTATTTCTTATACATATATATTCTACATATTTTTCCTATTTGAATCAGAAGTTTATTTTATATTGTTATCTTTTGTTAAATACTATCTAAAAATCAATGTTTTTTGAAGAAAATGTATTTGTTTTATTGTAGTTCTACATACATTTACCACATTCCACGCTCCAACCCGTAACGGGTTTCATTATTTACTAAATATTTTATAATACAGGGTGATTATTACAATTTCATATCTACTCAGTTGTGAACATATAGGTACATATATTCCATGTTAATTAGTTTCTATGTCTATGTATATTATTCTATCTCTTTTATGGGACATTTCATAATTTAAATTTCACATCTGCCAGCTAGCTAGATAAGAAATTTAAATGATCACCCGTTATAAGTAGGTATAATACAATATACATATTAATGTAGATATATCATATTTGATATTCCTAATCAAAAAATCAGTCAGTACGTTGCACTACATATTCAGTACGCTTTCGAAATCTATTCAAACGGCGTAAGCTGTTAGTGTGGTTATGTAAGGTTAGTAGTAATCACAGATCACAGCGGTACTCTGTAATCTGTGGTAGTAATTAACATGCACATAGAAGTAAGGTGTAAATTAATAAGATGCCCATGCTAGCAAGCAGTTAGCATGGAGAGAATGCGGTGTTATGGCATACGAATGCCGGAGCTGACAAATTCTTAGAGAGGACTAAAAGTTTTAAAGGATAACTCCCGAAAACTCGTAGTACAAAAAAAGGGGTTTTTTTAGTTGGTCAGAATCCAACACTATCCAGGGTTCGGAACACTGGGTGTCTTCGCGAAGATTTTTATTCCTCCAGCCGCCGGGCAAACCAAAAGATCTATTCAGTACCTTCGCGATGATAATTCTGGCAACACTGTGGACAACTCTTGTCATTTGTCATGGTCTTGTCTCTGTGGTATCATCACTTTTTGTTTATATTGTGGACAAGAAAAAATAAAATTTAAGATTTTACTTATTCTGGTGTACGGCTTATTGTAACATGATAAAACACATTTGGGTTCGGAACTCTTGTTAAGTGAACAACCATGTCGACTTTAGTGGTGAATACGAAGTTCGATGAATTGTGTCGTTTGTGTGGTTCAAAGACTGATTCTCTGGCGGTGCATATTTTTGAAGACGAAGGCACATTCAGTGAACTAGAAAATAAGATTCTCGGTTGCTTGCAGATTCAGGTTTGTATGGAAAGGGAATTATCTAGTTGGTTAGATCATTTTAATGAAATCCTAACTATTTAACTCCTACCAGCCTAAAAGTAGATAGGTACATACTCCTTTAGGGTGATACTATTCAAATCAAATATGGCCATTTGTAGCAGTGTGTACTTAACAGAACGTCGCATACTTTGATAATATTTTTAGTAATTGAACATGCTTCAAATATGTTCGCATTTGATCAAGCTTAACATAAGTAAATTTGAGACAAGAGGGCTTATTGATAGAAGTTTAAACTATTACTTTTACTTCACAAACACCTCTGACGGTTGTATTTTTTGTTGCAATTTTTTCCCGTGCAAAGGGTGGTTCTTCGTAAATTGTTACTTGATTTACCTTTAGAACCGATATGTTTTTTATTGGACGTTTTGAATTAAAAATTTTAAATTATTTATAAATGTACCGGATCAAGTGCTTATGTTTGTTTCTTTAATGGAACGTCTTATACACGTTTTGAACAATTAAACCGATCGGTATGTCTGAACGCAATTACATACAGGGTGTACCAAATTGTCAGGACAACTGTCCCGTAGCATCAACCAGATGTTGAAGTGGACTAGGAATCAAGCTCTACAAGTGAGACTTAAAAGCGACATGAAAATAACCACTCATTTGGTGGGGTATTTTTAATATTAAACTGATCGAAAATAAAAGAATCAAGTATGCGCTGGTTTAAAAAAATACTCATAAATGACAAGTCGACACAATACTTGTTTAAGTACTCTGTGTTGTCAAGTATTTGTTTAGGTATCTGGTTCATTTGGCTGTAATTTTACGTCAAATATACGTCCTAAAGAAAATTTTTAATCAATTCGAAATTTGTTGAAATGTTTAAATTCATAATTTACATTTGAAACTGTCCTATTTACTTGCAAACTGAGCCCCGAATTAATATGGATGAGCAACCTGCAAGTGTGCATTGTAACACATGGAATTTTAAATTTAAAGTAAGAGGGTTCACCAATCATGTAAAAAACGACAAGTATGTCTTGAAGAGAGATGTTTAGTTAACTATTTTCCTGAATTCATCTAAGTTTCTATATACTTATTACTATATTCTTATCTTCCCAGGGTCTCAGTCAAAGTATGAAGTAAAAGTTTTGAATATCGTTTATTTCATTACATTTTGACGAGACAACAGCACCATCATCAGATTTAAAATTTACACAAACTACAAATTTTAAATCTAATCTAAATTTTAAATATGATTATGGCGCTGTTGTCTCGCCGAAACGTAATGAAATAAACGATATTCAAAATTTTTACTTGACACTTTGACCGAGACCCAAATAAATCAGAATATGCTTATTACTCGGCTGCTACTTTTTGCTACTTTCTTGCCAAAATAGAAAAAAACTGCTCCAGTGTTGTCCCTGCAGAAGCCCATATCAGGCGATTTAAAAAAGACGCGGCAATATTTAAGGGTGTGATCTGTTAAGTGCTATGAAATACCATGAAACAAAGTTCCCATAAACATAAGTCCGGAAGTGCATAGTTTCCAAGATACAGGGTGTTGAAATTTTAGTTATATTTTCGTTTCCTTCTGATCATTTTTTAAATAATGTGAATATATTTTTAAAATTTGGTATTTAGAGGTTTTAATTATTAAAAATTTTGCATTTATATTAATTTAGCTATAACTCGTAGGGGGCGCCATCAACACAACTTTTCAAAAGTAAACAATGAGATTTTTTATAGTGATACTGACTACTACGTACTTTTTGCTTGTTGTTGGACAAAACAAAATAAACTGGTCCAGTGTCTGAATATTTTACAAAGAAATCATGTGTTGAAAATAAAAATTGAGGATTTATTTAATCGAATAAGTAAACTTAGCCGGGATCAGGAGTTCAAAGACATTCAGAGCATATATTGAAAGAGAAACCAACCACCCAGCAGAGGCTTTACCATCCCTTAGATCAAAATAAAACATGTTTAAATTTAAACTTCGGAAGAAATGGGCCGAATTTTTCAGAATAACATCAAAGATTTTTTAAATTAATTCAGTCAGAAATGAAATGAAAGTTATTTGAATAGTAATAGCCGTTGTAAGGTCGACATATTTTTTTAAGTATTTTTTGATGGTACCAAAATTAACTCAAGTAATACTTCGTTCAGGTTTGCCAAACACGCATATCTGTTTGTTGTTATTGTGGATTATTTAATGTTATTGCGAAACGAAATGCGAGAGATTATTTTCTATAGTGGGCGCTATCATAAACGAGCGAAGAACTACTCAGTAAAAAGCATCTGCAAAAAAAACCTTAAATGGTAATTCATTTTTAAATGAGTGATATTTTTTAAGCATTTTCGCATATAAGCCGTATTTATATTTTATTTAATTACAGTAGTTACTTCTGACCCCTTTTTTGCTTTTGATTTTAGAATGTTTTCCTTTAAGTTTAACAATGTTAAAAATTTTAAAAAATTGTTAGTGTTTTTAAGTTTAACAATGTTAAAAATTATGTTTTTAATAAAGGAAATCATTATATAGCATCACTTATTTCTAATATCATCATCATTGTGCATTTTTAATATATATTTTTTAAAGTAACATGTTTCTTTTGGAACCGCATTTTGAAACCTTGTTACTGGAACGTTGTAACCTGTGGAAAAATAACCGTTTATCACACCTCCTGAGAGAGTAAAGTGACCTCTTGAGAAGTGAAGAGTGAAGACATATACTCTGAAGAGTATATGTCTTTTGGAAATTCAACACAATACAGTGTTGCCGCATTTAGCGTTGTTTTCGTTTCGGTTAATTTTGAGTTAGTTTGTTTGTGTTTGCATGGCTGAAGTGATTTTTTTAACGAAACCATAAAATATATGCAAAAAGTAAAATTAATATCCTGAAAAATTGAGTGAATGTAAATGCTAGGAATCCAAGGAAACAATTTTCATTAATTTAGAACGTTTTGCGCCGTTTCGCACTACCGCTCGAAATTTAGCTTGAAAATGCTGATTTTTCCCAACTTTGTTAGTGTTTTTTTCATTTAATTTATGGACCATCCTGGCATTTTTTGGCTAAAACTGCTTAATTTAATGGATTCTTTAAAAAAGACATGAAAAATAAAAAAAATTCTGATGGATTGGATTTTACTAAACGAATCCAATTCATTTTCATCCATTCAAGTTTAAATTTATGAAACGCAATTTTTCTATTAGTAATTATACTTTCTCATTGTGTGGTAGAAAAAAATTGTGCTGATCTCATATGTACGATATTGAATGGAGTCATTTTTATCGTAGGTTAGGCCAGTATTAAGTATCTCTTGAACTATGGAAACAATTTTTAATGCAAATCGAGCTTACGGTTACATCTAACCACTGGTAGCCGAAGGTTGCTTAAGCTGCTTTGCATCTGAAAGTTCTTAAATAACAGATATATTTATAATAACTGTAATTTTTGTTCTTCAATTAGCAAATAAATTAGTTATTAAATATTATAATACACTCGACTTAAGTATTTATGTCTTAATGTCGTATTTAATTCGTCAAATAATAACATTAGAAACCGCTCTAGGTGTAAAATTAAGCAGCTAGTTTTTCACTCTCTCGTCTTAACGGACTCCTGAAATTATGGAAAACATGCAATCGTGGAAAATTATCGATAATTTCAAATCTCTCGTCGTATTACTCCCGATAAATGAATTGTCCTCATGGAAACCATATGCAAAAAGCATGTCGATCGTTGCAAAAATAGAATAATATATCATTTTACTGGGGGATTATCAGTACTTAATTTCGTAATATTAATAATATTACGTCTCATTATCGATATCTGGGAACAAAACTGAACACATACTTAATAGAAACATAAAGGTTTTTTTCTCAGTTCAAAATATTGAGTTCTATGTTGCAGATTAATCAACAAGATGAACTACCGAAACAATTGTGTGATCATTGCTTGGTTAAACTGGAAATGTTCTGGGATTTTAAAGACCGTTCACTGCGTACAGAACAATTGCTCATCGAATTATTAAAACAATTGAAAAATGCTGAGGATGCACAATGTTTCGTTTCAGTCGACCCCGAAGGAATGGTACTGCAAGGTTAGTTTAAACACTCAATCATGCCATTTTAAATTGATAATTACTTAGTTAAACTAAGCGTTTTTTACATCCAACATATAGGTAATCAGGTAAGCATGAGGTATTTATACCAGGTGTAACAGGACAAGGCGACAACTTTGAAATAAGTGACTTAATTTACTAAATTTAATTATTTTTTAGAATCCATACCTTTAAATATATTGGCGTCATTCCCGAATGGTTGGAGATCTGTCAATTCGTCCGTCGTCGTACGAATTGACAGTTCTCCATCCAATAGAAACACTTTCGAATCATCGCACAAACGGATGCATGGGACACGGGCTTAGGTCGGGAAGTGTTTATATGTTTATTGTTATTTGACAATTTATTAGCGCTTGAGGCCTAATTAATAACATACAAAAGTGGTTCATAAGACAAAACTGATTACGTTGATACAATATAGGACAAAGGCTACTTTATTCAAGTACCCAAAGTATTTTAAAGAAATAAAATAATATACAGCATTGAATAGTGTTGCTAAATTGATATGTTAATATGGGAGTCCTTTATCATAGCTCGCTGAGGAACAAACAATCAACAAAAATCAGCTGTACCTGAGTGATAGAAGCACATGCGATTTAATTACAGACGGCCCTCATTTGCTGCCCGACGTAAGGTTTTGTGACGTAACGCTGAAGAAGGGTTGATCAGACTATAGTACAGTTCGGAACGCGCGATAAAATGTAGGTCCCGTATAATTGTGGATGATACGTTGCACAAGTATGCGCGAGAGGTCGCTCGCCTACGCTTTGACAGAGCATGGCACAAGAAGAAGATAAATATTTGCAAAGTTTAAAAATTAACTACGAAACAACCAATAGCTCAATTGATACCAAATTCACCGTACGAATCAGTTGACGAATATGGGACTAAAAGTTCTACATGTAGAACTGTACACGTAGTGCGACTTGGACAGAAAGAAAAAAATGTGTTTAGTTCAGCAGGAAATCTATCCAAAGCCAAAGTTATTTGAAGTCAGCAAAGCAAAAAGAGAAATGTAAAGAATCCATAAAACTTCAGTTACTTGTCGGAAAACTAAGCTCAGTTCACGTTAAAATATTTATAGCTTAGAGATAATTCTTACCAGCTTTTTGCAGGCTGGCGCCCCAACCTCCATTTTCTACTCATTAATCCTCGAGAAGTTCACTACACTTTCACAAACTGCTGCACTTGCCATAAGGGCGAAAATAATTCTGTATTTTTCATCTAAGTTTGCGATTATCGACTGATTTCGTCAACTATCAACTGCAAACTCAACATTAAAACACCTTTTCGAAGAAAAAAAAACACCGAACAGAATAGATTTGATTATTTTATTATTTGCGTGTTCTCCCTTTGATTGATCGAAGTTGTTGATTTGTGACCTTCGGCTTCCTGGCTTCGAATTTTAAAATTGAAATTAAATTAATAATTAAACAATTATTAATTTGTAGCATCGGACGAATCATAAGTTTCTCAGTTTTCTCACTACAGATACAGATTTAGAAGATTTAATTGTGGAACGAACAAGACGTTGACATCCTGCAATATTTCCAAGCGCAAATTTCACGTTCCAACTTAACAAAAGTGAACAACAACTAAACGAAAAACGCTCGAAGTGCCAATCTTTCACTAATTTAACACAACGTGTCAAAAAACCGTCAAAAACTAAAATGAATAACCGAATTAATTTTGTTGAGTAGTGAGGTACGATGAGTTATAACTCACCAACCATGATCAGAGCGACATCAACTCTACGGCGCAACTCAACACGGTGTTACCCAGACCTACAACTCGTTTCGCAACGCATGCCAGAAAAGAATTGAAACATTTTTTAAACGAGTAAAACAATTGCCCAATTTGTTTGACAATATATGGACCATTTTACTGTATCATCACGTAATTGCGCTGACACATTGTATCGGTATTGTTGAGGGAACACCTGAAGATCCACATTGTTCCCATGCCTACAAAGTTTATATTGCGACTATAAAATTAAATTTGAATGTAACTGTAGATATTGTGTGTATGTAATACTAAATTGTATGCGATATTACTATGAAGTTTTCTTTTGTATATTTGCAGGACAAAGTTTGTCCAATATGGCTGAGCCCGAGCACGCATTTAACTTGATTCCTCAGCAAATCTTGAATCAGGTTTCGATGGTGGAAGATGGAACACTGTATTCTAGTGATGTGAGTTATTTAATAAATATTAAGTAAAGCGTTACAAACACGTATTTAAATATTCTGCAAGCACATATTTGGATGAATTATTATTTTCTTATATTTTCAGAACTACTCAAAACCACCAGGAAATGCTGATCAATTAACATGTTACTCAAATCAAAACTTAGACGAAAACAGTTTGAGTAAGTTTAAAAAAACTCTATATACATAATATGTTTTCCGATTATCCCCTTTGGAACATATTTATTTCAGCTAAATTTTACAAAATTTCTTACTACTGACTTATCTACGAGTACTTAAATCTAACAGCTTTAGAGTGTTTTACACTCTATGTATAACTAACATCCCTGACTTAACCTACCTTAACCTAACATGGGCACATTACCCCTAAGTCTAGACCTAAATCTAATAGAGCCTCTCTTACTACCTAAGCTAACTTGCAGCTAGTCCTGATCCTCTAGGGACTCCATTGCGGATAATTAAACTTATTTTAACTTAAACCCAGTCCTGGTCCTGTAGGGACTTCATGACGGATACTTGAGAGTAATAATAAATTATTATTGTTCATTAGAACTAACCTAATAAATGTACAGTTTGCCCTCTACCTTACTCTACTTAAATAAAAACTTAAGCCTACTACATCCTCTCTTGCTTCCTAAATCTAACCTGAAGCTAGCCCATGGTCCTCGATGTGGTGCTGGATCATCGCATGTGGTCCACTGGTCATCGCATGTGGTCCACGTCTTCTTCTTAGACAGTGTCCGCAGGGGGGTCTGCGGTCACTGTGAAATTTGTTAGTGCAAGAAGCCCGGACTGTGGGATTCTTGCTTTGCCGGGCATTATCCAGGAACTTTGTTGTTAAGTTCCGGAAATGCTCCAGCAGGTCTTCTGTGTTCAGGTCTCTTTGCAGGGTGGTATTTCTGACAAAGTACGGGGCCTTGGCTGCTATCCTCAAAATCTTGTTTTGAATTACCRCCATCTTCTTCTTTTGCGTGATGCAGACCGTGGACCATGCAGTTGATCCATAGGTCAGCACCGGACGGATTAGCTGTTTGTAAGCTCTAACCTTTGTTCTCAGGTAGAGCTTACCTGTCAGCAGAGGATAGTAGGCCTGGAGCAGGTATCTTGCCTTCGCTGCTGTGGTTGTCATCTGGTCGTGTCATACCAGTCGCTTGTCGTAGATAAGTCCAAGATAGGTTACCTTGGACCTCCAGGGCAGCCGCTGTCCTGCAAACTCTAGTATGACTGGCGGCGTCTTGGAGCCCCTGGTGAAGAAAATGGCTTGCGTTTTCTCCGGGTTAAACTCCATTTTCCAGTTAAAACTGGACACTCCATTGCTGGACCTGGCCGAAATGTCTTTGTAGGCTAGTGGTCATGTTAGGGCCGTTCCCGGCGGCAGTGAGTGCTACATCGTCTGCATATATGTAGCACTTTGTATTGCGTTGGTTGGAAAGTCTGCCATGTATATGTTGAAGACAGTATGGCCCAGCACTGATCCTTGCGGTACTCCTGACATCACCGGTCTGCTGGTTGAGAGCTGGTTCTCAATTTTGGCCTGGAAGCTGCGTCCAGATAGGTAGCTGCTGATGAGCTTAGTTTGGTGTCCCGGAAAGCCGGCTGTTATGATCTTGGCTATCAGGGCCTGGTGCCAAACTTTGTCAAACGCCTTTGACATGTCTAGGAAGACGACTTCTAGACCGTTTCTTCGGCGGTTTAACCTTTGCTAGATCCTTGTTGTCAGCCGGGTGGTGAGTGTGTTAGTGCCATGGTCCGGCCGGAATCCATGTTGCTCATCCAGCAGCACCTTCTTGTCCTCTATTGTATCCTGGATGTGGTGCAGGATACACCTCTCCATAACTTTGGCCATCATATGTAATAGGCTGATAGGCCTGTAGGACTTAAGCAGCTTCCTGCTTGCTCTCTTTTTGGGCACCAATACCACAATTGCCTTCTTCCAGGTGTTCGGAAAGCACTGAAGGTACATTATTGCGTTTGCCACTGTGGTGAGGTTCTCAATTATTGCTGTTGGTAGTTTCTTGAGGACCTCATTCGATATTCCATCATGTCCAGGGGCCTTTTTGCGTTTGGTCCCCTTGATGGTGTTCTGATGATCTCTGTAGTGACTTTTCTGGCTTGTATGGGCTGCCAGTTTTAGAAGTGGGCGGCTACAGTATTGTCCACTTCCTATTCTTGTTCTGGATGATCAACCAGGTTTACTCTGCATTGGAGCTCCAGTTGGTTTGCAAAGAGCTCCAGTTTTCCCTTTGAGTCCACAGTGGTGATTCCGTTCTCTTATATAGGTGGGATTGGTTGCATTGGCCCTTTATTGATGTTCCTGGCCAGTTTCCATAGCTCTATGTTTGACTCGTCAGCTTCTATTTCGTCCATGCGAGCATACCAGTGCTGCGATCGAACTTCCTTGATGTCTTCCTGGATCGCAGCCTGGAAGCGGTTGACTAGCCTTTTTAAGTATGGATCTTGTGTTCGCATGGCTCTGTATCGTATCCGGTTTTTCTCCCTGATTTTGGCTTTTAACCAGGGAGGTATTTGGTCTATTTGGTTGGCCGGTACGACGGTTTGACTTGTTGAGGCAGCCAGGGCGTTCTTGTTTTCCCCCTTGAGCTTTTCGACTGCCTGGTTCAGGTAGGTCGTCCTCTGTTGTGGGCTGAGGGATCTTGCTGGAGCTTTCCAATGTTTGCTGGAAAGTCTGCCAGTTCGTGATGCTTTTAGTCACAGTGACACCGTTCATTTGGTTTGGTCCAATTTGCAGGAGTATCGGCAAGAGGTCCGATGATAGCTCCTGGAGCACTTCGGGGTTGGACAGTTTTCCAGCGTTTTTGTACAGGAATATGTCCAGTATGTCATCTCTGTCATTTTGAGCAATATGTGTTGGCTTTTGGGGTACTTGCTTTGTTTGATAGCATACGGCCTCTGTACGTGGTGAAGTTGCATCTCCAAATCTTCGTTTTTGGCATTGAAGTCCCCTACGTGTATCGTTAGGCGGTCATCCGGGAAAAGGTTTCGAACATCCTCGGGACACAACGTAGCGCTAGGACTGTATACGGACCTGACTCTGATCTCCACCTCCTTCATTTGGATGACCACCATGGTTTCTTCCACTGTTGTCGATAGTTTGACAACTTCGTGGTGTTGAATGGACCTCTTCAATGCGACTATTGTTCCACTGCCCCTGGTGAGCCTATCATCTCTGTGCACCTTGTGATTCTTCAGTGTAAACCTTTCTCCAGGCTTCAGTAGTGTTTCCTGGATTAGGCACACATCTACATTGTATTTCTCCAGGAAGTCTTGGAGTTCTTCTTTCCTCCTTCGAACTCCATTGGCATTCCTGGAGACGACACACAGAGATTTAGGCCTAAGCAGTCTAGACATGACTGCTCATTAATGCAATCATCTGGGCTTGTATCGTGGCCATGAACGTTTGCATCTGTGCTTGCATCCTCGAGCTCCTCGACAATACCAACCTGACAAAAAGACTCAAGAGGGTAAAGCCTTTTGAGCTATGTAAGTGACTATGTCAGTGCAGATGCGGAACATTGTGCGGTTTTCTGCTACACGGTAATTAGTGTAGCTATGCCACTAGACCACCAGACTCTAAGGTACACTAGTGAGTAGAACCTTAGTTTGAAGATTTATCCATAGTTAAGTTAGGTTAGAACAGAATTACTCATTGATCAACTTTGATCAGATCGTAATGTTTGTAAATGTCCTACGGGGAGTTCAATAAAAAAAATCTTTGCTTGCATGGCCTGGATGGTTTGGGCCAGCTGTTCATGGCCGGTTTTGCCCCCTTGTGGACGTTGGGGGGGCTTGTTGGGGCGGCAGGTTCTTTTTGGCTGCGGCGCTGTAGCTGGTGGCGGCTTGCGGCTTGGCTGTTTAGATTGCCCTGCGTGTTGTGGGTGTTTTTTTTATTGTTTCTGCGCTGGTTTCGCTCACATGTTTTTGCTTCTTCATGACATAAAACTGTAAAGTTTCAGGCCCCTAAAAATGAAACTACCTTTTTGTGAACCTCGCGCGGGATTTGCGTAAAATCTGAACGGAAAAAATCTAAAGACAGCTGAATCTGGTACCGGTGGCACTATTTGAAAGAAAATGCAAAATGTATTAACTTAAGCTAGTAAGCTTACAGAGCCTGTTCTTACAGGTAGGTACAGTACTTTGTAGAACTAACAAACAATATATCTCAAAGCCTTGAGACCACTATAGAATGCATTCAAACGTTTATGGTTGCCCTGCGGGATTTCTGAGTAAATTATTGAAGAAAACGTTAATCGAAGGTTAAAGGTCTGCCTTAAAATTGCTAAAAACTCTTGCATCTTTTCCGATACAGTTGGTAACTTTGTAGTAAAAAGATTCAATTTTTCTATTAAACAGTGTGGTTGTGCGTTTTCCATTTTGTGAAGCTTCTTAGTATTGAATGTTTGACTAAAATTACTTTTGAGGGCAAAAGTAATTTTTAACTGCTGGAAACTCTTGGATTTTTTGACCGGGTTATATTGCAAATTTCGGGTAAAAACCTCTACTTCTGTATAGAATAGAGTTAAATACTTTTAGCTACCTGGCGGGGTTTCGTAGCACCTCATTTTTGAATCAAACGCACCTTGAAGGTCAATATCTGCTTTAAAAATGGCGGAAACACTTGGAAATGTTTAAAATCCAGTGTGTTTCAATTTTCGAATCAATAAAACACAATTTTGTTTGTTTTTGAACTGTGCCAAGTGCGTTTTTCAATCTTCCGTGTTTTTCGTGTTAGAATTATCGAGAAAAACGTGCCTTTTAAAGGTAAACGTCTGCTTTAAAACTGTGTAAAAAAAATCCACTTAATTTGCAATTTTCGTGTCAAAAAGACTTTATTTTTCTGCAGTTCAGAGTTTCGGCGTGCTTGAAATTTCATATCAACTTTGACCTTATTATGGTCAGATATTTTCTAGAGTCGCTGTGAGCGGAGAGCTTATTTCATCTTGGTTCGTGTCTAGGCCTTCCCCACTATCCCGATCAAACCTATTTGGGGGTCCATAGAGTGTGTTTTGTTTATTACGCCCAGAGTAAGCTTTTTGAAAAAAATACTCTTCACGTTTAAAAGTGACTCTCCTTCTTCTTTCCTTCGGTGACTTGTTTTCTTATCACGTTTTTCATGTTTTGGCAGTAATTTTTAAGCTGGTCTTTAGATCTAGCATGCTCAGACGTTTGGGAATTAAAAGCTGCTGATATTCTGGGCCACGTCAAATATTTTTCTCTCCATGTGGTAGCATTCGTTTGTTTACTTTCAAGAATGTTTAAAATTGTGAATTATGCTAGCTAACAGACATTTTTCCTTAGAGGAAAGGTATGGAGCCCCTGTGTTAATTTGAAATAACTCGGCCGTATTTCATTGTTTTTATTCTCATATTAGGGTTAATTTTCGTAAAATAATACAATTGATATAAATTTAAGCGATTTAATGAACGCCTTGCACGATCTCCCTCCAATCAATCCTCCAACGAGCACCGATTATCCAATCATCCATGGCCAACGGCAAGCCATTGCCCGGAAGTACCGCCTCGCCATCTAATGCCCCAGTTATGAAGTAGCCCCGGTGTTGCCACTCCCGTTCTGATCCCGCCTTCCAGTGTTGCTGTCCCAACGTGGTACCTCCGGTTTCCAAGGTTGCTTTCTATATTATTAATAATACGTTTCAAATGTACACAGTAATAGCAAACTCAGACTAACGACTTTCACTCTAAAGATTAACGTTAGTTAGGGAAGAAAAGCCAATTTGTCTTTAGTATGTCTCAATTGAGTTTAGTGTCTCAATTGACACCCGTGCAAAGACATCTGTAGTTAGGGTTAGCCTTAATCGAAAATTATCCTCAACTAAAGGGATGATTTTTAAGAATGACTGGTAGCAAGTGGCCATCAGCCATATTTAATTATTGTTATCATTTAATTATAATTATTGAGAGCACTGCATTTTTATCGTCAAAATTAATATAAACTATATTGACACAATTGCATTTTAGGTTTGACGGAGTTTCAACCACAACAATTGCTTTCAATGCCTAACTTCTTAAAATTTGGCGACAATTTTGAAACAAACACGGACGCTGCCATCTCTTTCACAGAAAGCCAACTAGTTAAATCTGAGGAATTGTCTATGGACAGTTCTGATTGGTAATATATTTTTCTACACTAATAAGATCAACAATTTTAGCAAACTGTTTAAAAATGCCGACCTTTTTAGGGTTTAAACGTTTAGCTTGCACTGAAACATTGTTTTTATGGAAGGTGCCTTTATTTAAATTTTTTTAAGCAGGGCTACGGTGACGTTCATATGATATATTCAGTCCATCTCCTTAGATTTTGATTTATATCCAAAATTAGCATTCCGTTTACATCCTTGAGTATTCCTGGTTTTCTTTCCCTATCATGTCTTTTATCTTTTTATGTGTGTTGAAACAGTCATGCTTTCTCTGGCACTCCTTATCTCTTCGCACTGTTCCTTTAACCATCTTTCTTTTGCTTGTTTAATTTTATGTTATTATGCCCTTCTGTTTGTCTATCTCTCCATATTACCTGTAGTTTTTTTCTGTATTCCTTAGAAGCCATTTGTCTTCTATTTCAGTGCTTTGCAGAATTTCGTGCTTTACTGTTGATCTTATCTGTCACACGTTGCTTTGTTTCTGGATATCTGGAATCTGGTAGTATCGATTGGGGAATTTTCTGAACTTATTTTTTTTTGTTTCATTCTAATACCGGGTCCAGGCCAAGCAGGCAAAATCGAGAGATTCATGTTTCACGACAACGTGGCGACAAATCCTATACATTTCGGCCACATTTTTGTGTTGTTTCCAATTCCGGAGACTTGCAAGTCCCGTCTCCAGTCGGTAAATATCAAAAACTCCCCGTTTTTTGTCTGTATATTTTACGACTAGTTGTGGGCACAGTGTGGACGGTGTGTGTTGATGAAAGTAGGAGTACCAATAAATCAGTGAAAAATCATACATATTTAGTTCTGTTGTGTTGTAGTGGAGTACAGTCTTTGTGAAGAATGTCCGGGGACAGAAAGTGGAACACAGCAAGTCCTTGCAGATTAATAAAATTGTACAGAGAACGTCCCATTATTATGGGACCCTCAACATAAGGACTACAAAAATCGTTACAAGAGAGCCGACACATTAAAGTATATTTGTTTAGCATTAAATATAAACTTAGTGAATGATGTCGAAAACAAAAAAAGGAATATACGACAGTCAGTATACGAGAGAAAGAAGAAGCTAACAATTTATTTATGGAATAACTTTCTCGCTTTTTTAAGGTTGATAGCACCCAAAACCGTTGGCATTCCATTTTTCCAACATTGGATAAAGATGAGAGAAGGAGACTAGGGGCTAGCAATAAATCTTAATTTTTAAAATTTTCTTCCTGGCAGAAACGCCACATGGTTAAGCAACTGATTCGCATCAATTGCATTTTGTTGCACATTGGTGGTGTGAACGGTTCGTCTCAATCAATTTTGTCTTGTCTGAATTCCTAAAATTTTGTCGCAAAGTTATCGTGTTTTCGTCTCAAAATCTTGTTCACTTATTGTCTGCTTAGTCTGGACTTGACAAGCCTGATTTTGGTTACCACGGGATTTATGTGGGTTTTATCTAGTAATTAAAAATTTGTATATAAATTAAATTTATGTAGTAAATACAGGAGGGGAATGCAAGACTTTTAAAAGTGAGTTTATCTATTTTTGTCACCCCAGATATCACTATTAAAAAACCTTGAAATGTTATGCCCATAGCGGATTTGGTGGTTTTCTGCCAGTTTGGTGGCAAGCAATAGAGTCTCTGAATGACGTCTTCTTTTTTAAAGCTTTTTATTTGAGTACTGAATTCTTCAGCTTCAAGCTTTTTATCATTTTTTTTCGCCACATTTTCATCGGTTTGAATATTAATCCAACGAGATAATAACAGCCCTTGAGGACATTCCTAGTATTGCAGAACATTGTTTTACAAATTGTAATTGTTGTTTGCAATTCTAAAACGGTCTCTTCTTCGCTCTTTACACACCGTTTTGCATATACTGTTTTTCTTACCAAGACAAATTCCAAAACTCTTTGAAAATAAGTTGTCTTTCTTTCCCTTTAATTTAATACGTAATTTTTCTTTTGAACATTCAACAATTTTTCTACCCCTTCTAATTTTTTACTGCTAATCTATTGCCCTTTCTTCTCTCTTTGTCATGCCTTTTGTTTTTTCATGTTATTTCAAGTTTTACCTGATTTGTTTAAATTTCTTTTTAAATTTCTCTTTAAATTTTTCAAGGTTCTTGAACTTCGAGTCATTTTAACAAACTCGAGCCACCATTTTATTTATTTAAAAGATTTAACATTCAACCTACGATAATTCATTTTCGATAGGTCTTCGCTTTGGGGTGACAGTGATTTTAGCAAAATTCTACTGTTGTTGTGTATTGTTTCTTGCAACATTGTCTATTGTTTTTTGCAGTCTCAGTAGTCAAGATGACAGTGCTCCAAAACTGGCTAATCCAGCCACAGAAGTTGCAGACAATTCCGACTTATCTAACATGTCGCCAGTATTATCAAATATGAAGGAAGAAGTCCCGCCTGAGAAACAATCAGGTGAGTAAACATTTACATGCAGTTTAAGGACAAACAGTTGTTCTCGTCTTCTTCGTCGTCCCATTTTTAGTCCTATTTAGCCTAATAAATTTCAATTTGGGCAATGGGGCTATTTTAATTATGTAGCCGCTTATATTCGTTACAATATTAAACATTCCAATTTTTCTCAAAGCTTTTTGCGTATATGTCGAACCACCGAGTTTTGGGTTGGGACAGGGTTTTTCAGAAAAGTGTTGATACATTTTTAGAACTTGCTCATCAAGCCATTGGATAGCAATATGCATTGCATTCTGTCGAATTATCTGTCGGTCTCAACGTATTGTTCATGAGTTGCTTTTGTTGAATAATTGAAGGGGTTAGAAGCACAACCGCCCAAGTCACAAAAGGTTTATTTAGATAAATTAATCGTCAAATATTTCTTACAGTCGAAAATTCTTAACTTATAAATTAAATTAGTTTGTGTTACAGAACCATTCAAATTAAGAACGAAAATTTAACTATTATTCAAGAAATAACAAACATTTTTTTAAATACATTTTTAAACTAAAATGCAATTGGGTTGTTTTGTCTTTAAATTAAAACAAATTATCAAAAACGACATAGCAAATAATTTTCTTGAATATCCTAATATTTTTCACAAAAATAACAACAACAAATTCATGTAATTATTGTCTGGTCTTTACAAAATTGATGGTATATTGGAAGGATGAAATCTACCAACTTTTATAAATTCTCCCATTTCAAACCTTCAAAAGTTCAACCATTCAAATCGCATGAAATTCAAATTTTTGCGGGCTTCGTAAATGTTGATTTGAAAATGAACGCTTTTACGCAATCCAACTTCCAAAGTTAAGCCAGTAGATACTTGAAAGTTGGACATTCTGTAGAAAACGGTTTTTTTAATGAAATATTGGCCTAAATTTGCATCCAAATGTCTGATATTCAAATTTTGTGTGACTTTTTGTGACAAATCCACCAGAACTCTGTGGCTCAAATGGTTATTGAGCAACTTCACAAAAAGAGGTGTCAAGTTTCAGTCAATTTTGCAATTAAAGAAAAAAACAGACAAAAACTAAAACTTGTGAGTTTTAAACAAAAAAACGGTAATCTGGAACCCATATTTGCATATCTGAAACGGAGCTTTGGAGACGAGCTTTAGATGAGCTTGATGTAAGCATACAAAGCCGTCCAAAATATTTCCAAAGTTTCAAAATTTGTTGTGAAGGAATCAGTGGTTTAATCGGACCCAAATTTACACTATCAGTAAGGTGCTGCTTTTTATATTGAATACGGAAACACTAATTCCCATATCTGAAGCAGTTCTTTCGCGAAAAGCTTTAGATCAGCTTGATATAAAAATACAAAACCGGCCAATATATTCCCAAAGTTTAAAAATAAACTACGAAAAAACCAATAGCTCAATGGATATCAAATCTACCTTACGAATCAGTTGATGAATATGGGACTAAAAGTTCTACATGTACATGCCAATCAGGGGCAAAGTAATGCTAAGCTTACCGAAAGCTGCGTGCCGTCCACCTGGAAAAAAGGAAGAAAATGTGTTTAAAACAGCAGGAAATCCGTCCAAACCCCAAATGACTTGAAATCAGCAAAGCAAAGAGGGAGAAATACAAAGAATACATAGAACTTCGTTGCTTGCGGAAAACGAAATTCAGTTCAAGCTAAAAGATTTAGAGATTAGAGGTCATTCTTACCAGTTTTTGCAAGCTGGCGCCCCATCCTTCGTTTTCTACCCATAAATCCTCAAAAAGTTCACAATACCTTCCCAAACTAGCGCACTTACCATAAGGACCACAATGATTCTATATTTATAGAATGCGATTCACACGGCACAAAGGATTATCGACCGGATTCGTCTACTGTCGGTAGCAAACTGAATATTCAGACACCTTTGCGAAAAAAATACACTGAAGTACAGAATAAACATGATTATTTAATCATTCGCATGTTCGCCCTTTCGATGATTCATCGCTCTGCTGTTGCTTGGCAGTCCGATTTCATTTTGTTTATTGTTGGAATGTAGAGAGTGTTTGTTCGCATAGTAGTTTCCAAAGAAAATTTTCACGTTTGAACTTAACGAAAGTCAACAATTAATTTTGTTTTTCTAAAGATATTGACTCAACAAAAAAAAACGAGAAGAAATCACTAAGAATTAAAATGTTACTCAATTTCCGACCGACGATAGAAACCAACGAAATTTAAACTACTTAATTAAAAATGTCCTTTTAAAGTTCTGATTTCAACAACTATTCGGCCACAAGCGCAATCGAGGTGCGGCGGAGTGAGGCGCGATGTGTTATAATTCACCAACTTACAAAGCGGCATCAGCTCAAAGGAGCAACTTAACACAAGTTGTAAACTGTGCAACTTAGAAAAAAAAATTTTATTCACCAAAAGCGGGCATCGGACTATGATTTCTATCTGGGCGGTTTTGCTACCATATAGAAGCAAATGTGGAGATCACGAGTTCCCACTTACGTTAAGTTTACAAAATATTTCACTTCGGCGCTTTTGCTTGTAATCCCTTCAATTGTATTTCATTGTAATGAAACAATATTAAAAACTAACTACTCAACAACTACTTGATTGACAATAATCCCGTTTCAAAGAGCAGGTTTGAAGAAAACTATTAACAAATATTTCGGTAAATTTGATTTTGGCTTTATTTCTATGTCAATTCACAGATATTTGTGAAGTAATATTGTTATACTGGTAGCTTTGGTTCAATGCTAAGAACAATTGGGTATATTTCTAATATCTATTTAGTTCCTAAACCTGCGAATGGAAAAATATGCCCGGAGTGTGGAAAATCGTACCGATCGAACTACAAACTTGCCGAGCACATGACTATGCATACAGGAGAGAAAAAGCACAAATGTCAAATGTGCGAAAAAAGGTTCCGGTCCAAAATGGGACTCGCGCAACACGAAGCCAAGCATACAGGTCAGTTCAGTGTGTGTATCTTTGTTCAATAAAGCGGCCTACTCACATGGCAATCCACAGGGTCACAGGGTCCCTGTGTGTCCCACATGTGTAGGGCGATTGGCCCAATTTCTTAAGGACTTTCCGATGTCGGCTAGTTGTTCGTCTCGAGGATACAATTGCCCTGCTTCCCACTCCCTGTGGATTTACATGGACCCTGTGGATTGCCGTGTGAGTATGTCGCTTAAGGGGCTACTCACACAGCAATCCACAGTGTCCATGTAAATTGCCATTTGTGTAAGGCGATTGGGCCAATTTCTTAACGAGTTTCCGATGTCGGCTAGTTGTTCGTCTCGAGGATACAATCGCGCTGCTCCCCACTCCCGGTAGATTGCTGTGTGAGTAGGCTCTTTAACATTTTATTTATGCTGTGACAATTTGTGAAATACTTCACACGCAGCCGTTCTGATTTGATTAACATATTGATATACTTGTAGACAGTTTGAGAAAAATGTTTGCTAAAAAATTAAGTTGGACTATGACGATTGAATAACTGACCAGCTAGGAGTAAATGAAAATCATACAGGGTGATTTAAAATTGGCGTCATTCCTCTGGAGCTGTACAGAAAAAACAGTAAAAGAAGTAATTGTTATTTTAAACTGAGAAATTTGCAAAAAAACTATATTAGAAAAATGGCAACAATGTTTTTCAAGGTAATCTGCCTTATTAACATTACGTAAATAGCTGGCGCTTCGTAATTATTTAAAACTCCGGTAACCATGGAATTATACAGAAAGTGACAATAAGATAGACAAGGATGAACGGTAAATTCAAAATTATTCAAAAGTATTCCAGTAGTAAATTCAACAGGAATCGTTGAATGACATATTTCGAAACTTATAGTCTCGAATTATTAATTTGGTTACAAATTACAGAAACATACATTTGAGTCTGTAACTCCAAACAAGTGCCTGTAATCACCTCATTATACACTCTTATCGAGGAACTTCTCGTATTCGGTGAATTGAACTCCCGCTCAATTTATACCGGTGTTTAGTAATTCGTTGGTTTAATGTGATCTTACGTACGTGCTAGGAATGTAGCCGGAAGCTTTCGTGCCTGGAAAAGTGTCAGTTGTTGTGCAATGTTCTCAGTGCCCTTAAAAGGCTCTTCTGCAATTATGTCCAATACTTGTTCATCTGTGTCTGGAACCTGAACATCAATTGTCGAACCACTCTCCTCGCCTTTTGTTGGCTGGTTGTGAGTTCTTTCAGCTTCTGCTATGTTACTGTAGCATTTCCCCTGAACTGAACTTGCCAAATAATGCTTAAAAACAAAGTTGAAATTCGATTTGCAACTGTTAATATCTTCTGGAAATTATCGAAATTTTTTTACACAATATTTTTTTCGTACCTTCTAAGTGAGTCCCTATTACCTCTTAAAAGGAATTATGCCAATTTTGAATCACCCTGTATATCACTTCTCCCACTTGCATTCAATTAATCCATTCTCGGGTTATAAAAAAATAAGAAATTTATTATTTAAAATGGGGTTCAATTATTCGGAACTAATATTTACTTTGCTATGTTTTGTTTCGCTCTGAATAATTAAAATTCTGAATCGGGTATCTGAATGTACGAGGGTCGTTTGATAAGTCAGTGACTTTTTCACTTTTCCGCGCAGTAACCGCAAACCAAGATCATTAGTAAAGATGACCTACATATAACAATAGGTCATTACGTGTTCGATACCATAGAAGAATGCGTATACCTAGATCATTTAATAAAATTGGGTAAGAAAAATCGAACGTCTGAGATAACCAGGATAATACGACTGGGCTGGGCGGCATACAGGAAATTGGGATATATTCTTAAAAACCAAAACATACCTATAAGTCTAAAAAGAAAGGTCTATGCGCATGCATCTTACCCGAATCTACATATGCGCTGGAAACTGTAACCTTAACCCAGGAAATGGCAGAACGTCTTAGAACAGCCCAAAGAGCGATGAAAAGATCCTTGCTTGGAATCGGCCTTAGAGACAAAATACGCAATACAGAAATAAGGAGGAGGACGAAAGTAAAAGACATAATCGAGCATGTAAATGGCGATGGGCTGGACATGAGGCAAGGCAGAACACCAATAAGTGGACAATACGCCTAGTAAAATGGCGGCCACGATCAACAAAGGAAAGCATCGGAATACCCCAAAAGAGATGGCTAGACGACATCAAGCAGTCGGTGGGCCGAAACTGACACTAACTTGCCCTAGATAGGGACACATGGAGAAATTTGGAAGAGGCTTATATCCAGCAGTGGATACATAAAATCCGACAAAGAAGTGCCTGAGGCTGTAGGCATCTCAATTGAGAGGGTATATCACATTTTACATAAATATTTGGATATAAAAAAGCAATCCGCTCGATGGGTGCCACGATTGCTGACACTCGACCATAAGCGCTTCCGTGTGACTATTTCAAATGAATGTTAAGCGAGGTTCCGTCGCAATCCGAACGAGTTTTTGCGACGCTTGGCAATTGGTGACGAAACGTGGATCCATCACAACACATCAGAGACCAAAGAACAACCAAAACAGTGGGTTTCTTCAGGGAAACGTGTAGCAAAGAAGTATATGTCGCATATTATTCAGAGCTTTTGGACAGATTCTATGTTGACTTGAAGCTCAAACGCGGCGAAAAAAGTGCTGTTTTATCAGGACAATGTATGTGTGAAGTCGCCATGGCCAAAATCCATAAATTAGGCCACGAACTGCTACCCCACCCAGCATATTCTCCAGGTTTAGCCCCTTGCGACTATTTCCTGTTTAAAAACCTGAAGAAATGGCTGGGCCGTAAAAGATCATCATTGAAACAGTCCAATGAAGAGGTCATCATTGAAACAAACGCATATTTTGAGGATCTCGAGAAATTGTATTATTTGGAAGGGATGAAAAATTGGAAAGACGCTGGACTAAGTGTAGCGAGCTACAAGGAGATTAAGTCATTGACTTTCAACGACCTTCGTATCACCAATAATTATTTATACAGAAACTGTAAGTCTGGCGAAAATTTTACAAGAGGCAAATCAGCTGGTAGCACAAAAAATCAATTTACTCGTACAGAGGGTAACAAAAATACAAACATTTATTAACAATCCAAGAATAATTTTAATATTTTCAAACGCTAAAAATAAATCACGCTTACTTCAAAACACGTATATTTATTGGATATGAGTTAAAGCGTGATTTTAAAATCACTGTTATAACTGTAAATGTGATTTTTTAACTTTAAATTTAACCTGTGAATATAATTTCACTTGTGATTGCCGTTTTCGTGATATAGCAGCCTCATAATGTGATAGGCAATTGTGGGTCACTTACAGAAACGATTTTAAAACATTTGTAATTCATATTTTTAAAATAAATAACCTTATTTAGGTATAAAACAAATAATATATTATACTTAAAGTACAACTGATACAGTACAATCAGAATAAGGTTAATGAATGGTGCATACTGAAATACGATTCCCAAAAATATCAATAAAATTGTGGGGGGGGGGGTTCATGAAAACCCCTGAATGGAAGCTTTCATTAACGAACAAAAATTTTTTATTTGGGTTCGTTCTTTCGCCGGGCCACATGTGCAACATATGATCACTACACGCAACTCGCAGTAGCAACGTTAGAAGTTTAGCGCCTCTCTTTAATATCACGTTTAAAATCACAGTTTATTTTTACGTTCGCCACAGATTGTGATTGCGATTTTGTAAACGCAGTGAAAAAACTACAGGTAGTGATTTGTTGCTCAATTCTAATATTTATGCAATTACTGTTGATCCCAAAACTAGTAAAAATTGTTATAGGCATTATTGGCGCCCTGCAGCGGCAAAATGAAACAACATTCGATACAAGTCAGTTTGCCTAGATGCAAGATTCCTAAAGTATACACGTTGCCTAGTAACTTTGGACCAATGGGAGAGCGCGCGGGAATACGTCACAAGTTTGCCAGTTTAAATTATTGAATCTTAACGTTGAATCAGCCGACATTTCTAGAGTTTGGTGTTCGTAGTTTTAGGTTTGTTCTCATCAGGTACTCTATCATCAGGTACAAGTAAAACTGTTAACTGTATTTCGTTATCTAAGTTTTGACCAATATTAAAATTTGTAATTGCTTATAGAATTTTTGTTATGAGCTTATTGCGAAACACTTTAATTTGGATTAAGAATTGATAATGTTCAATCTAATGTATTTATATATAAATGTGTCTGATTGGATAAGCATTTCTTAATCTCGGTTAAAGTATGCACCCACTCCAATATTAATAATAAAAATTTATTGAAACTCAGAAGTAGAAATCTATACCAATCCAGAAATGGAAACTACAGGTTGCTGTATTCACAGCTGATTTTTCGGTTTGAGGGGAAAGTTTTGCACTGTCCAACAGAACAGATGGCGCTGATGCATCTCTGTCCCGTGTCTAGTAAAGGAGAGAGGGCTATCTATATCAGTCTTTATCTATGATTTTAGGAACACCCTGCATATTGAACAGTAAAAATTTTGAATGCTGTTGCTAGTGTATAGAAAACAATACATTGGACTTAAATCGGTTTAGGTATTGTAGACTGAACTTTTTTACATATAAAAATGTGTAATGGTTTTAGGTCAATACGATTTGAGATGTCCGGTATGCGGAAAAGGATTCCAATGTCGTAGTTACCTGATGGTTCATCAAAGGGTAAGACGTTCTTAAAATATTTTTTTTTTACGAATAGATGTCTCAGTGTGCACATTTTCACTCAAATAAGGAATAATTTTGCAATTGTGTGCAAAACTTGTGCCTATTTGCGGCTAAGGTTTCGAAACGAAAATAAATATCGGTTGAAGACAAGAGATTCTTACAATTATTACCTACAACTACCTACATTTGCGAACATGTTAGCAGACAGGTGGACCACAAATTTAAATCAATTTTTAACCGTTATCAGCAGTTGCGGCTGTGAGCGAAAGTGTCCGTCTTAACCCGTCAAGGTCAACTCGGCGCAAAAGTCAACAACTGAACATTAGTCGTACCACTTTAAGCAGTATTTTGAACAAAGGTAATAATTCACGTTCACAAATTTCCATTATGAAAAACTTTCTTCTATACGACCTCTATCGTTAAACTTGCGACAGATGTAAGTCCGGCACTGTAGGCTCGATACAGCAATAAAGAATTGCATTTTTATTACATTTCTCGAGATCAAGCAGTTACCTCCTTTACAGCGCTCTAATTCCCGGTTTCTCAACATTTGCCCTTATTGGTTCCATAACTATGTAGTGGATAAAGTTATAAGACCGATAATGTTTTATGGGTTTCCGAACGGTGACAGACAAAGTCATATCGAGCTCATAACAATCCGTTGGATAAGTACCTTTTTAATTCGACCGACAGAGGGAACTGTTTGATAGGGTATGTTCCATTTTTGACTGGTAGTACGGAAGGTGCGAAATACCGGTAAAAAGTGCATCGCAAGCTAGATGACGCCACAAAAAAAACGCATTTTGATCGGTCGGTAAACATGTGGTTTGAAGATGTTTAAAAAAACCGCCACAAATTTTATGTAAAAGCTCTCGGGTTTTTATCTGAATTCAGCATAACTGTTCACTAACGGACAATGAATTCCTTCTCACAGTATATGTTTTAAGGTAGTCCCCAATAAGGTCCAATAATACACCGAAACAGTGTTTCGTTAAACGAAACCTGTCGCGAAATTCAGAATCTCCATATTTGTTCATTTGGTTCATTGGTTTGGGTAGTAGGTAGTAGGTACTTCTTTGGAATGGAAATCCATGCCGCTCGATCCATGATATGCGCAGAATTCGTCATGGTGCACGCCTCAACTCCGTACAAAACGACTGGGAGAAACTGACCATTCTTATTTTCAGTTGAAGGCTTCGGTTTCTGCTGACTAAAATGTTTACATTTTATTTAATACAGTTTTTGGCTTCTCGATTCTGCATCTAATTTCTACGGATTAGTCTCAGTTTGCAATTACTATTGATTCTAAATAAATGTATCTCTCCACTCGTTCTATAGTCTCTTGATTGAAGTCAAAACCATAGAAGGCAGGGCCTTTTTGCTGATGATATTTGAGGTGTTCAGGCCACGTCCATATTCCTCGCTCGTTGTATTAAGTTTCCCCAGAAGAGTTTGAAGATCTAGGCTACTTGCGAGGACATAACAGTATCCTCTGCGTATTTGATGTTGTTTATATTTTTGTCTGTAATTTATTTTAATCCCTTCAGGAGAGTCTCTAACGCCGTATTTTAACTTTTCAGGTGCACTCTGATGTTAAACCATTTCCATGTTCAACTTGCGGGCTTAATTTCAAAACGAAACAGTCTCTACTTGATCACACAAATCGACACCTCGGACTCAAGCCATATACCTGCACCGTATGCAAGAGAGGATTTATCACTAAAAGTAAGTCTAAAAATCACGTTTTTATTCGAATGAATCGAAAACTGCCAATTTCTGATCAGAATATGCGATGATCATAAAGAAACACTTTTCTTTAGTATTTATTTATTTAACTTTTACGCACGCACAATGTGCACAAGTAAATGTGACAAATTTAATCTTGCCACTTCAATATATTTTTAAAGGTATTTTCATTAAAAAGTAACCGGCATACTAGTCCAGTCTCAAAGCCATTTTTAAGAGATGGTTTCGTTCGGAAAGTAAACAAATTTGCCTTGCCTGAATACAAAGCGTATCGATTTAGTCAATCACAGTATTAACTTGTGGAACTTTCGAGAAATTATCAAAATAATTTGACTTTTGCAACCTTTGCTTGAAACAGACGAAGTTTTTGGACTTTTGGGTCAACGTGGAATATAATTTCTGTTTCTTGGCAATTTATAAAGCAGTGTCTCAACAGTTACAATTTAGCCTACGACTTTCACCCAAATACTTTATATTCATATGCACATTGGGCAGTTTCTTGGGACACGCAAACAATCCACTGAGATAAAAAAAACATGCATGAAAAATTTTGATGCGTTTATATAAGTTTGTTTTGATAATTTTATATCATTTTCATCTCACGTATGCAACGAATACAATGATCTAATTGATATACATCATAAAAATTTATTCTTCTTTTCCTTATGCTTTGTTAAGATCCTTTGGTCTGTTTATTTCGTCTGGTCAATGTTGTTGATTCTCTTGTGATATGGATGTCCAACTATCCTTCCATCTTTTCGGTGGTCTTCCGATGGGTCTTTTACCAGCTGGATTTAGGTAGATGCGCCACAATCTTGGCTATTCTTTCGGGGTGCATTCTTTCTACATGGTCCCGCCAGCATCTTCTGCGCTTTCGTCCCCATCTGATTACATCCTCCACCTTGCAGGTCTGTCTTATTGTTGCGCTCCTCACTATATCCCGTAGTGCTTTTCCCGCTATTGAGCTTAGAGTCTTCATCTCTGTCGTTCTTAACATACATTTTGTTTTGTTTGTGTGTGCTCGGGTCTCGATGCCATGGGTCAGTATTGGTCTTCCGCATGTTTTGTATATTCGAACTTTACTGTCGATGCTTATATGTTTGTTGTTCCATATGCCGTCTCTTAAGCAACCGGATGTTAACGAGGCTTTGTTGATCTGGGATTTGAAATCTTTCGTTGGTTCGTTGCGGCTAGAAATATCCGCTCCAAGGTATCTGAAAGTTGTGACTTGCCCGACAATTTCATTATTTATAACCGGCTTACATCTCGTTGGTTCCCTAGCAAATGTCATACATTTTGTCTTGGATATTGATATTTGCATATTAAATTGTGTGCTGACTTGATTGAATCTGTGAAGTTGTCTTTGCAAATTGTCCTCCGTTTCTGCCAATATTGTCGCGCCATTAGTGTAGCAAATTATGCTAATGAGTTTTCCGTGGATCCTATACCCCATTATTAAGCCGCTGATCTCTGCAATGATCTCGTCTATAATCAGGGTGAACAGAAACGGGCTTAAACTATCTCCTTGTCTTATATCCTGCGATATCGGTATGTCATTTGTTGTCTTATGATCAACTTTAATTCGGGTTGAATTGTCTGTGTTTAGGTAGTATACCGTTTTTATAATTCTTGCCGACGTTCGTTTTTTCTTCAAATGCTTTTGTTAAATCGATAAAACATGCAAAAGCGGGGGTGTCAAATTCTATTGCCTTTTCTTTTATTTGTCGTATGATAAATAGGGCGTCAGTTGTAGACCTATTTATCCGGAATCCCAGCTGTTCGTCTTTGATTTCGATATCTTGTTCCAGGTTATCTTTAATAAATAAATAAATAAGGCTGGTGAATAATTTCATGGAGGAGCATAGAAAAGTTATACCCCTGTAGTTTTTTGGGTTGGTTTTTTGTTCTTTTTTGAAAAAGGGTATGGTGAAGCTCTTGTGCCAATCGTCGGGATTGTTTGTGAGCTGAATATTCCATTGAAGAGTTGCGTTAGTTTTTTTGTTGAGTTTATTACTGCCATACTTTAGAAGCTCGTTGGGTGTATTGTCCACACCCAGTGCTTTTCTATTTTTAAGCTTTTTCTTTTTTACTTCTTCCGTGAATGATATTGGAACCTCCTCTTCTGCCTGCTCAGCTCTCATATTTGTGACTTGGCTGTTACCGTACAGGTCATTAAAATATCTCTCCCAGCTGTGCAGAGATTTTTAAACATCTTCCATACTTTCCTTTGTGCTCCATATAAATCGTGTTGTATATCGTTGTTGATTTTTTACAGTACTCTCGTTTAATCCTTCGTTTCTCTGCGTTCGCGCGGTTTCTAGCATCTTTGTGTTGTTGTAATAAGATTATCGTGCGATTGAGTGCTTTTGTAAAGCAAGTAACTTTTCCGTTTATTATTGAGTAGCTTGTTCACCTCACAGAACCATGGTGTGTTGTGGTTTTGGGCATGCACGTTAATTTTTCGTTTGCCTAGGGATTCTTCCGCGGCTTTATGGATACGCGCCTTTATCCTTTCCCAGTACTCATTGACATTGCCGTCGGTTTTATTTTCGTTTAGTAGTTTGTTGGTAAGTCTCCGCTGGTATAATTCGTTTGTGCTGTAATAGTCGAGTGATTCCATGTTGTATTTTTCGATATATAGCGGTTCTTGATTACGTTTGTGATGTTTTTCTAGAGTTATCTTTCCCAGGACAAGATTATGGTCCGTGCCAACATTGGCTCATGTTAGCACTCTCACGTCATTGACTTGTTTTGGGGTTATAGCTCTGTTCGTTATTATATAGTCAATGATGTCCTCTTGTATTACAAAAGGTGTATTTATGTTGGAAAAAGGTGTTATTTATTCTTAGCTCATTTCTTGCGCAAAAATTGATTAGGGACTCGACGTTCTCATTGAGGGTTGGTTCGTTAAACTTCTGTTTACACCTGCAATTTCTACTGTGCCAATTCGAGCATTAATGTCTTCGAGCAGTATGAACCTTCCGCTGTTGGGTATTCGGTCTATGGGGGTTGTAGGGAGTTATCAAAGCTTTCAGAGCCTTCTTTTGGCTTGGATATATCAAGCTCATAGATGCTAATTAGATGTAGTGGGCCCTCGGGGAATGCCAGGTTGATTCTTAGGATCCTATCATTAACGTATTCTAATGTTTTCAATAATGTCAGAGTACTTATCATGTATAAGAATACCCACACCTGAGCTGGCGCGGTCTTGCTTTGGTTTTGCACTGTAGGCAAAGATGTAATCTTGGTATTTGATGGTTCCCTTTCCCTTTCGTTTGGTCTCAAATATTCCACATACGCCTATTTTATGCTTCTCCATTTCCATAATCATCTCCTGATCTCTACCATTCCAAGAGGTGAAATTCCAGCAGGTAAATCTAGAGGGAATACATTTTTGTTTTTGCGTTGTCCTTGTCCGTGTCCTTGTTCTCGCATGGATCGTGATGGAAATCGGTCCATTATCCGAGGCTTGACCTTTGCTTCTGTGAGCTATGACTGAATGAAAAATTTCAAATTGAAAAAATCGGCATTTTTGTCCCATTTTGAACAGTTTTTTGAGCATTTACGATCTTTTACCGATATATATTTTTTTCCTTTTTAATGCATTTAATAGTTTTGACCGAAAAAGAGAAGAGATCGATTTTTGGATAAAAATTAGTCTCCCAAAATAGCTCAAATTTTACATCATTTTCATCTCACGTAGGCGAGAAATAAAATGACCTAATTGAAATGCACCCTAAAAGCTTCAAATCAGAAAAATTGACATTTGTTGGCCCAATTTAAGCAGTTTTTGAGCATTTACGATCTTTGACCGACGATTTTCTTCTTTTTATATGCGTAAACACATTGTATGTGTATATTGGGAACTTCTTAGATCCGAGTGAATATGCATGTAAAATTTTGATTCCTGACTGAAAATTTTCAAAAACGAGTGGAGGTCGTTTTTTAATTAAAAATCTATCTCTCAAAATGTCTCCAATTTTACATAATTTTCATCTCACGTTAGCGAGGAGCACAATGAGATCATTGAAATACACGCTAAAACTTTCAGATCCGAAATATTCGTCGTTTTCGGCCCATTTTGTTCGTGATCTTTAACGATGGTCTATTTTTTCTCGTTCGCCGATGTTGCCACACGCAAAACATGATCTTGCTGATGATCAGAAATAATTTTTTTTCTTTCTTGATATGACTTGAAATAACTTAAAAAATTAGAAAGAATGAAAATGCGAAAAACTTGTTGTTTTTTTAAATATTTTTTTACGTTTTTTTAATTTAACCGACTTCGTGATTCTCACGGTTTCGGAGATCCCTATGCAATGCTTCCTTATCTTGGACACCCTGCATATGGTCAATGAGTTTTGAGAAATACATATTTTCTAGGTTTATGCCTTGCTCACGAAAAGACACATTCAGGCGTAGACAATCGCAAGTTCTCGTGCAAGATTTGCGAAAAACGTTTTGTGTCAAAAAGTTATCTTCGTACTCACTCGCGTATCCACAGCGGTGAGAAGTCCTTCATTTGTGAGGTAAGTTTGAAATTGTCATTGCAGAAGCTGCAATTGTAGATGCTACACAACTGTAGATAGTTTTATTGTACAATGCCAAGGCTTTATGGATACATATACAGGGTTATTCGTTTTATGTTTGGGAAAGTAAAGTAAAAAAAAACACACAAAATATTCAGATGGAGACGAAAATTTTAAGTCAATATAAAGATTAAACTTTGCCATTATACGTGAAAAACAATATCATTTGAATGTCCTCCACGGGACCTCCTACAGACCTCAATCCTTTTGAGGTAATTTTGAATGACTTTTTGGCACATTACCGGTAATATATCGATCGTAACTTCACGGATATTGGCATTCAGTTGCTCAAGAGTTTGATGATTGTTGGTGTAAACATGATCTTTCGCATAGCCCCACAAAAAGGAATCTAACGATGTTAAGTCGCAGGATCTTGCTTGATCGTCCTGGAAATTTATTTTGCAATAGGGCTCTAACTGCCAGTATTGTGTGACTCGTTGCCCCATCCTGCTGGAACCACATGTCTTCGGGATCATAATCTTCAATTTATCTCTAAAAATAATCGGTAAACATGCGTCCATGGCGCTCAGAATTTACTTTTATGGCTCTTCCTTGATCGTTTGCAAAGAACTACGGGCCAATAACACCACCGTACTATAATGCACACCATACGATCACTTTTTCAGGATGCCTTTCTGCGATCACCTGAGGATTTTTAGAGCGCCATATACTGCTGTTCTGTTTATTCACGTAACCACCGAGCGAAAAATGAGCCTCATCGCTGAAGAAAACTCGGTTCGAAAAATCATCATCAACGGTTTGTTTGGATGATGATTATGATGATGATGTTCTGCGTTGTCCATGATCTTGAGGCTTAAGTCCTTGAGTCAGTTGGACTTTGTAGGGATGGAACTTCAAAATCAATTGCAAAATTCGCCACAATGGGCCGTAAGACAAGCCCAAATGTTGAGCACGTCGGGGAATTGACGAATTCGGGGCGTTCTCCACACTTTTAGCAACAACAGCGATATTTTCAGCTGAACGAATCTTGCGATGATGCACAGGCCTTACAATATCAGTAACCGATGTGGGTCGATTATGTCGACCGTAATTATCCTTAGTAAATTGGTAGAACTGTTTGCAAATTCTTCAACTGTGACCAAATTGTGAAACACCATAATCGTGTCATTATAATCAGCATAAACATCTCGAGTAAATACGCAATCTTGACTAGAAATGATACATTATCATGAGTTGTCGAATTCCGTTGTTACTGCGTTCAAAATTTGCTCTTGTAAAACATGGGTGGTTGCGGGCTGCACAATGCTAGATGGTACAAAAGTCGTCATTGCAGCGAAAGGTGATGTTACTTCTATTAAGCTTTGCGTGAAGATATTGAAGTGCATCCGAATAGATCTTTGTCAGTATTTGTTGCATTTTTGCGCATCTGAAACATAGAAAAAGCAGAATTAAAGAAATATTTTCCATTGCCAGCCTTTGTGTTGCGTAAAGGGATTATTAATTCATTTTTCAGTGAAAGAAATAGAAAATATATTGTACCGTGGATGGCCGAGTATTAAACTCTTTCTTCTGCTTCCAACTTTTATTCCACTCGGTACAACTTTAACTACGGAACAGGAACAAACTAACTTCAAAATTACCGTCAACTTCACAAACAATAACAGTAACAGGCGGAAAACTCGCTCTTCCGACTCCCGGAGTTTAACCTCTTCTGCACTCAGGCGCGGCTGTCACTTCACTCCCCCCGTTTGGTTCTCGTCGTCGCTTATATAGTTTTCTCCAGATAGTTCTAGAAATCTCCAGAACAGGTGCGAATCTTCCCGCTTGTCAGTGTCATATTTGACAGTAAATGGGGCCCAAATGGGGCTCCCATTTACTGAAATACCATGAATTTCGATCCCCCATTCCAAACGTGAGTACCCCAGGCCATTTCCGTTACAATATTTAAAGGAAATATAAATGGTGTATTTCGTACACATTGGACATTGTCCGAACATATAGTTCGAAGGTTCGGAAGTTCTGAAGTTAGGGCTCGTAGAACTGGTAATCGTAAATAAACCGCAGCTTGTACCAACATATTCACGGTATAATTTGAGATACACGAGGGTCGTTTGATAAGTCAGTGAATTTTTGAATGAAATATTTTTTTTTTCGACCAAAAAACGTTTTATTTCTCAACATAATCTCCTTTTAGCTCGATACACGTAGTCCAGCGTCTTCGCAATTTTTTCATCCCTTCCAAATAATATAATTTCACGAGGTCCTCAAAATATACGTTTGGTTCAATGATGACCTCTTTATTGGACTCAAATCCTTTAACGCCCAACCATTTATTCAGGTGTGAAAACCGGAAATAGTCACAGGGGGCTAAATCTGGAGAAGATGCTGGGTGGGGTAGCAGTTTGAGGCCTAATTCATGGATTTTTGCTATGGCGACTACGCACATGTAGGATGATTATGGATTCGTTCCAGGTTTCCGGTATTTCTTGGGTTTCAACGCAAGTGTTGAAAAGTGTCTTTAGCTTGGGGATGATTGTTCCTTCTGTCTCCTTGGTCATTTCTATTACAATACCGTTGCCTCCAGGGGCCTTGCTATATTTTGATGTTTTAAGAGCATGTTGTATTTCCTCCTCTGTTATTTCGGGGATGTCGTCCGACCCCTCATTTCTCACTTCCTTCAATGTAATCTTTTCTGGTTTCTTTAGTTGTGAGGTGTATAGGTATTGGTAAAATTCCTTGGTGATCTTTAGTATTTCCTTCTTATTTCTGGTTTCCCGGTGCATGGAGTCTTTTAGCGCTATTAATTCTTCCCTACCGTTGTTCCTCCGTAGACATATCATGTTTTTATTATTTTCTATTGCATTTTCTACTTCTGTTATTTAGTTTCTTTCCAAATCCTTGCGTGTTATTTTTCTTGCTTCTCTTCTGGTTTCGCGGTATTCTTCTGTGTTTTGTTTGCCTTCGCGGTACAACGTGCTTATTTTTTCTATCAGCTGAATCGTTTCCGCTTTTAGTTTGTGTGTTTTTCTGGTTTTCTTTTTTGCTATATTGAGTGCTGTTTCTTTAATTATCGTTGTTGTGTGTTGCCACTTATATTTGTTGGGCTTATATTTTCGCTTAATTTGGCTTTCAATTCGTTTTGGTATATGATATTGTTTTCTTTCAGAGTGCTGCATCTATTGAGCCTGTTTTGTGTTTAATATATCTTTTCGGCTTCTGTATGGATAATTTAACTTTGACTATCCGGTGGTCGCTTCCTGTGTTGAAAGAGTTTAGAACTGAGATGTCGGTGACAATTTTCTTGGATGATGATAGGATATAATTGATTTCGATACGTGTCCTGCCGTCAGGGCTGATCCTTGTCCATTTCTTTTGTGTTTGTTTAAGAAAGAAGGTGTTTATTGCATCAAGTCTTTTGTTTTCATGAAAGTTGCATAATACATGTTCTCGTGGGTTTCTTTCTCCGAGTCCTTGATTATTGATGTAGTGTTCGTCATCGGATAGCTTTTTCCCAACAATAGCGTTGAAATCTCTAATAACCAGGTCATTATTACGCCATTATATCGCCAATAACCAGGTCTTTGTCTAGTGCTTTCCCGATGTCCTCATACAGAATCTCCACTTCTTTGTCTTCGTGAGTTGATGTTGGTGCGTATATCTGAATTATTTTGATCGGTAGTCCTTGCTCCAAGGTTGCATATGCTACTCTTACCGAGATTACGTTGTAGCTTTAAACGATGGATGATAGTAGGGTGCAGCTTGGGGATTGTCTTTTAGCAAATCGTCTCAGCCTTAACGTTGAAAAGACGCTTAGAGTAGTTTTTGGTATACGTACGCATGACTTCGAGAACCCCGAATCGGTCAGATTTCTGGGAGTCTACCTGGATCCAGCCATGAGGTTCGATACGTATGTAGACTGTGTGCTCTAAGGTAACAAAATCGATTTATCTGCTGAGGCAGCTGACCATGGTCGTGTATACCGAGCTGTGTTTCATGGTTTGCCATGCCCTTATACAGTCCGCTTGCTGTGATGCAATCTCTGTCTGGGGTCATTCATCTCACATGGGTCGTATGTTTGCAGGGCAGTCCTTGCGGGTTTTGGCTATCGGGATGATGTGAGGAATGCTTTTAGGGAGCTGAGTATACTGATATGCACGCGATACATTCTGGAAAGCTTATTATGGGATAAAAATTCTGAATGCTACCAGACGATTCTAGCAATCATGAATATAATACACGTGGAAGAAGCAATCTGAATTTGCGGTTTCCACGACTTAATAGGACATGCAGCTGTACTTTATAATATGCACCCAAACTGTGCAATAAGTTGCCTCAAAGTGTAAGGGACTTAAGCCAGAACCTATTTAAGGCCCACATTAAGGGTTACTTGATACGTGGGGCATTCTATTCCGTTGATGATTTTCTTAGTCACCAATTGGTTTTTGAACCCTGACTTGATGTTCAATGTAATGCTGGATTTTGTCTGTCGCTCTGATCGTATCTGTGACTGTGTGTATCACTTGATCTAATTAATTGTATTTTATGCAATTTTATCAATATTACTGACGTATGTAAAAGTTCTTGTTCTTCTTCTTAGCGTGTCTTATCCGTCGCAGACGTTGGTTATCAACATGGCAATTTTAATTTTATTGATGGCATTTCTAAATAGCTGTATTGATGTAAGTCCAAACCACTGGCGTAGATTTTGTAGCCATGAGTGTCTTCTCCTTCCTGGTCCTCTTTTACTGTTGATCCTTCCTTGACCTATTAACTGGAGTAGACGATATTTTTGATGTCTCATTATGTGTCCGAGGTATTCCAGTTTCCTCTTTTTAACTGTGAGTGTAATTTCTCTCTCTTTCCCAATTCGCTGCAGCACCTCTTTATGTTATGTTATGTGGTCAGTCCACGAGATTCTGAGGATACGGCGGTATATCCACATTTCAAAGGCGTTTAATTTTTTCATTATAGCTTCCGTCGTTGTTCATGCTTCTGCTCCGTAGAGCAGAATTGGGAACACATAGCACTTAGCCAACCTTATTTTTAGAGGCAGGGATAGATCCTTGCTTGTGAATACATCCTTCATGTTGTTGAACGATGCTCGAGCTCTTTCAATTCTTGATCGGATTTCGGTGGGCTGGTCCCATCTTGCATTGATCAGCGTACCAAGGTACTTGTATGACTCCACACGTTCGATCGTCTGGTCGTTTAGTGTAATGCGCTCATTGTGTGTCTGATCTTTGCTCACCACCATCCACTTTGTTTTTG